AACAAAGAATTTTGTATGCAATCGTATTAACTCTGTAATGAATGCTTTCCGCGATTTAAAAATTAATTCATTATTTCTGTAGCACAAAATATATGCGCGATTGAATGCGTTGCTTTTAGTTATGTAAGCTTTCTGACATTCGCTTATATGTTTGCATAAGGTAACAGTATTACGTACAAGCGTTGGTGCCATAATAATAAAAGAGTTGCGTCAATCTGAACATACGCCCCACGATTTCGCCATGAAAAAGCAAGCGACAAGTAACAAAGGCATAGCCCTTAAATTTAAGAAACGATTGTCTGACACGATTTCTGATGATATACTATCGCCCACAACGCCTTCAGTCTCCGATACTTCATCTACAGCATCGATACCAATTATGACAGCCGGTGTCAAAAGCAAGAGGGACTGGTGAATAACTTTCATCTGCTACGGGTATCGAGGCTATACAAGAGCTCTAATTGCGCTCACAAAACAAATAACATCATTATCAGAAGAGTTTTGGCAACTCGGTGATGTCTCATTGGTTAGACAACTGAGTTAAAGGCGGGCATGATGAGTATCAGAGACATGGTAGAAAAAATGACGGCATCAGGAAATAATCACTTGTCAGAGACTTTACTGGTATGTAATAACAAAAATGAATTGATTACGTTTTGTGAGCGCCTATCCTTGAAATTAACTTCGTCTGTATTAAAATACTCTCCCCAACAGTACATGTCAATGATACAAAAAGTCACACGAACGTGGGTTGCCGCCGCATATCCAGATTCAACTACATTCAGGTCTAAAGCAAAATGGACCGTTTGGTGGACGTCCAATCGTTCCAAGGTAAGTTACAATGCAATATAGCAAAATCACGTGTTACGTTTTGGGTATTCAGATAAAATTTCTTATTCTGTAGTTATTGGGAACCTTCAGAAACATAAGGGGGAATGCAGTAGACCGGATAAAAAAAGCACTACTTCATGTGTTTAAATCAAAACTTCCTCCTCTCCTCGACAAAGCTTCCCTTTCGGATATAGCTGCTGTAAGTACAAACAATATTATCCATTTGACAGTTATTTATATTTTGACGTTATTGTTTTTGATATACTAGTGGAAGCAGAGTGATAGAGTTCAGTGGTGTCTCCGTCATCTCAATGAACAGTCAAGCAACGAAGAAGGAGAGGACACCTATCTGAACAATATCATCATACATGCATTTGGCAAAGAGCCAAGGGGAGGGCTGGAGGGAACTAATATAGAGTTTACTTATGCAGTGTGTAGGATTTGCTTAGATCCGACATACAG